CTCCTTTCATTTCCTGTCTGTCATCACCTCGTACCTTCTACATGCTTGTCGTGGTTCCGACAGATGAAACTCTTCAAAGAACTTCGAGACATTGTTTACCTTAAAGTAGCATAGCATCCACACTAACAAAATCAAAGCCAAAATCTGAGTTCCCCTCCCCTGAGCACATAGTATCAAAGCACAATTCTCTCCTCCAATTAACTGTCATAAATCACATTCTCCAATTAGTTTGAAATGCAGGCTTCTCCTCCAGTTCTCCAGCCGGCCAGTTCTTATCATCTCTTATTTCAATAACCTTGGTTCTCACACTAGGTTCAGTATTGTTATGTCTAGCTAAACTCTCATGCACATTCCTCTCCCCAGCATCATCTAACTCTAAGAGTAAAACATAAGAAGAAAATGGTTGCATCTCCATCTGTTGTCAAAGCAAAAACATCCGATGTTAGCTGCGTTGACAATGCTCTTCCCAGCTCCAAAAAAGGAGAAATGAAAAACAATCGTCCTCATGCCTCAGATCCAGAAGGGATGCTTGAGGTCATCAAGCTTCACCCCTTGTTTCATGCAGGAATCCAAACGAACAGGATGTTTTTTCCTAACATTCATAGTTTTTATCGCTTGATCTGTTGACTTATGACTGCGACCGAGCCAAAAGTTTCCGTTGCTAAGCGAGACATTTGTAAAATGAGTTCTGCCCCCGTTTTTATGACATTTCTTGCTGCAGTTGTTAAATGAATCGCTGCAGTTGTTAAGTTAGTACTATATCTCCCCTGAAAATAAGACCGGGTCTTATATTAATTTTTGCTCGGAAAGACACATTAGGGCTTATTTTCATGTGACGTCTTTATTTTTTCATGTACAACAATCTACCTTTATTCAAATAATGTCAATAATATTATTGATTTATGTTTAAATTATATATTAATATTACTATTTTATAATTCAATACGTCCGTTGTGTGTTGCAACGGTACTAAATGTGTCCGTCTAGCCGACAATCTTAACGGGGGCTTATTTGGGGGGGAATTGGGTATGTCTAGTTTAATGAAGAGAAGGACAAGGGGGGACATGATAGCAGTCTTCCAGTATCTCAGGGGCTGCCCCAAAGAAGAGGGAGTCAAGCTATTCTCCAAAGCGCCTGAAGGCAGGACAAGAAGCAACGGATGGAAACTAATCAAGGAGAGAAGCAAGCTAGAACTAAGGAGAAATTTCCTGACAGTTAGAAAAATAAATCAGTGGAACAACCTGCCTCCAGAAGTTGTGAATGCTCCAACACTGGAGGTTTTTAAGAAGAGACTGGACAGCCATTTGTCTGAAATGGTAGGGTTTCCTGCCTAAATAGGGGGTTGGACTAGAAGACCTCCAAGGTCCCTTCCAACTCTGTTATTCTATTCTATTCTCCTCTCCTCTCCTCTCCTCTACTTCTATTCTATTCTATTCTATTCTATTCTATTCTATTCTATTCTGTATTCTCTTCTCTTCTAATTCTCTTCTCTTCTCTATTCTATTCTATTTTATTCTATTCTGTATTCTCTTCTCTTCTCTTCTCTTCTCTTCTCTTCTCTTCTCTTCTCTTCGCTTCTCTTCTCTTCTCTTCTCTTCTCTTCTATTCTATTCTATTCTATTCTATTCTTACCCGCTCAGTGGAACTGGTTTTCTGCAGCTGTTTCCAAAGTCTGTGAAATCAAGCGGTAAATTGGCAATTGGGTCATGCACCTTTTTCCTGTCAATGCAATCTTAGTTTGGGAAAAGGAGAATATCTAACACAGGTAGTCCTGGATTTACAACCGCAGTTGGCACCGGAATTTCCGTTGCTAAGCATGCCAGTTGTTAAGTGAATTGCACCCAATTTTATGAACTTTTTTTGTCCTGGTTGTTAAGCGAAAGCCTGCAGTCCTTAAGTGAATCACGTGGCTGTTTAGTGAATCCAGTTTTCCCCATCTGCTTTGCTTGGCGGAAACGGGCTGGGAAAGTCACAAATGGTGATCTTGTGATCCCAGGATATTGCAAATATATGCCGATGGCTGAGTGCCCAAATTTTGATCACGTGACCGTGGGGATGCTGTGACGGTCGTAAGTGTGAGGACTGGCTGTTAGTCACATTTTTTTAGTGCCATTGTAAATTTGGACAGTCGCTGAACGAACGGTTTTTAGGATGAGAACTATCTACAAATAGAATTTTTATATACGTTGGTCTGGGAAAACCTGGTTTTGGAGGGTGCCAAACAATTTGCAACAATAAAAATGATAATTCATACTTTATTATTATTTTTTTCTCCCTGCTGTAAGATATTCCGTCTCTTTACTTTTCTGTTTTCAGTCCGGGCAGCCTTTTAAGTTCTCAGTATTGGAGATTTGTGACCGAATTAAGGAAGAATTCCAGTTCCTCCAAGCTCAGTATCACAGGTATGGAGAAGAAGAGGGAAAAAGAAGAAGATTAGGGTTCATAATTAGGGTAACTTAAGTGGAACCTCCACATCCAGTGGTAGTATACCCAGAGTACTGTGCACGGCCTTGAAAAATCCAGAAATCTCTCTCATTGCTTTTTTTTCTCTCCGTTTGCTTTTTTTTTTTTCTCCCTGTCAACCATGGTGCGGCCTTGTTCACCCATCACGTTAAGCTGTGGTTTGTTTAAGCCCCATTTGCAGAATAATGGCTGGATGCACTCAGCAGGCTGCACCAGTAAACCACATTGTGCTTAGTGCATAGTGTGTTTACTAAAATCTGGCCTTTTTTCTCCTCTCCCTTCCCTTTTTCCTTTCCAATGAAGAGCGGGCATTCCCCAGAAAAGGGAGGCAGCTTGTAAATTGATTTATTTTTGATTCTGCTCATTTCTCCCCCACCCCCAGTCCATTACAGTCCTTGAGCGAGGAAGCCACTGAAAGTGGGAAGGAGTTTGGAAAGGGGGGTTGGGGGAAGGGATGTTTTTGAAAGAGAGTTCAGCAGAAAAAAAATATATGAATCATATTTGCTTTGTTGTTGCAGCCTGAAGCTGGAATGTGAGAAGTTAGCAAGCGAAAAAACAGAGATGCAGAGGCATTATGTGATGGTAAAGCATAGTAATAATACTAATCATAACCCTAATACTTTTTTTTTTGTTTTAGCAAGAAGCTCTGGATTTACAAAATACAGGGGGTCCTCGACTTACAACAGTTCATTTAGTGACTCTTTGAAGTTAACAATGGCACTTAGGACTGTTTTTTCACACATGCGACCGTTGAACCACGATTGAGCCCCACTTTTCTGTCGCTAAGCGAGACAGTGGTTAAGTGGGTTTTGCCCCATGTTACCCCCTTTCGTGACACCGTTGTTAAGTGAATCACTGAAGCTGTTAGGTTAGCAACACGGTTGTTAAATGAATCCGGCTTCCCCATTGACTTTGCTTGCCGGGCGGTTGCCAAAGTGGATCACGTAAACCCCCTCACCCCCGGATGCTGCGACCATCATAAATATGAACCAGTTGCCAAGCGTACGAATTTTGACCACGTGACCACGGGGGACGCTGCGACGGTCGTAAGTTTGAAAAATGGTCACCAGTCACTTTTTTCAGTGTCTCTGTTACTTTGAACGGTCACTAAATGAACGGTTGTAAGTCGAGGACCTGCCTGTACGTGGTCCTTAATTGTTGACCCCTGATTTGAGGGCATATAATCAATCGTGGTCCAAATTGTTCTTTTTGATTTTTTTTAAAGAATGTGACTATCTGTTGGTGGCTGTTTGGGGTGTCTATGAGCTTCTTGCACGATGTTTGCGTGTAACTATGGCTGCGTTGCAGTCAGGGACCGAATGTCGGGAATTGGGGCACGATGATGAGGGAGAAAATGAAGGCCTAAACCAGGGGTAGACAACCTTGGCTCTTTTATGACTTGTGGACTTGAACTCCCAGAATTCCTGAGCCAGCCATGCTGAGGGGAAAGGGAGAGGTTTCCAAGCTGAGCCATGCTGGCTCAGGAATTCTGGGAGTTGAAGTCCACGAGTCATAAAAAGGCCAGGTTTGAAGACCCCTACAGTAGCCTAACCTCAGACAACCTTCTTACTGATTCGTCAAGGTGCGATGCACCCAGCCACATGCACTCCAAAGTCTGCCTATGGCAGGGGTAGGCAACCTTGGCTCTTTTATGACTCGTGGACTTCAACTCCCAGAATTCCTCAGCCAGCATGGCTCAGCTTGGAAACCTCTCCCTTTCCCCTCAGCACGGCTGGCTCAGGAATTCTGGGAGTTGAAGTCCACCAGTCATAAAAGGGCCAAGGTTCCCCACCCCTGCGGCCTATCCTGATCAAATGAAGGAATTGTGCAGCTCTGGGGATGAACTGCCTGCCTGCCTAACTGCTGCTCCTCCGTCTTTTTCAGTATTACGAGATGTCCTACGGTTTGAATATTGAAATGCATAAACAGGTATGATTATCCTGGGAATCTCAAAAAGGAGCACGTTGGGGAGGGGGTTACAGAATTGGGTGGTTGTGTAAAGATGGGTGTGACGTTGTCAATTTGGGTTATGCCAAGGGACTAGGTTGCAGTTGGCTTCGTAGGGAGCATCCGGTTTGCAATTTATAGGCACTGTGTTCGTGCAGTGCCCTCAAGCTCTCTGGTGCGTTCACACGACAAGCTAAGCCTTAGTGTTGTGTGAAAGCAGCTAAGCTGTTTAAAATGTATGAAATAATGGGACTTTCTGAAGGGAAAAATTGGTGGACTTTTCTCCTTCCATTTCCCATCCTCCCTCCTTCCTTCCTTCCTTCCTTCCTTCCTTCCTTCCTCCCTCCCTTCCTCCCTCCCTCCCTTCCTCCCTTCCTTCTTTCCTCCCTCCCTCCCTTCCTGGTTTGCTTCCTTCCTTCCTTCCTCCCTCTCTCTCTCCCTTCCTTTCTTCCTTATGTCCTTCCTCCCTCCCTCTCTCCTCCTTTCTTCTTTTATTTCTTCCTTCCTTCCTCTCTCCTTCCCTCCCTCTGTTTTGCTTGCTTCCTTCCTCCCTCTCTCTCTCCCTCCTTCCTTTCTTCTTTCCTTCCTCCCTCCCTCCCTCCCTCCTCCTTTTCTTACCTTCCTTCCTTCTTTCCTTCCTTCCTCCCTCCCTCCTTCCCTCCCTCCTTGTTTTGCTTGCTTCCTCCCTCCCTCTCTCTCTCCCTCCTTCCTCCCTCCCTCCCTCCTTTCCTTCCTTCCTTCCTCCCTCCTCCCTTTCTTACCTTCCTCCTTTCCTTCCCTCCCCCAAGAGAAAATTTGAGCAGAGCGAGGCTTCGAAGTTTCTTCTTTCTCTTCTCCTTTAGGCTGAGATTGTCAAGCGGCTAACGGCTATCTCTGCCCAGATTATCCCGTTTCTCACACAAGAGGTAAAAAAATAAACAAACACAAGCGGGTAAGAAAAAAGTGAACGGTTGTAAGTTGAGGATGACCTGTAATGCATCTTTACCATTGGTGGCAACTAGACCCCTGTATCCTTTTTAAGAGTGGGCCTTGGCAGGTCTGGGGCAGGGCCGTTGTTCTATGCTAGCGGTTTTCCAAGCGCACTGATGGTTTTCCTTGGCCCCCCAGCACCAACAGCAGGTCTTGCAAGCCATGGACCGGGCCAAGCTGGTGACAATGGGGGAGCTGAACAACATCATTGGGGTGAGTGAGTGTGGCTGGGGCCAAGCAACCTCCTTCACTACTAACTGACCACAGCGGTGGTTCTCAACCCCAGCAACTTTAAGAGGGGTGGACTTCAACTCCCACAAAGTGCCAGGAAGGGAGGGAGAGAGGAAGGGGAGGAAGGAAAAAGAAGGAGGAAGGGAGGGAGGGAGGGAAAGAAAGATAGAAGGAAGGAGGAAGGCAGGAAGGGAAGGAAGGGACAGGAAGGAAGGAAGAAGGATGCAAGACAGGGAGGGAGGGAGGAAGAAGGGAGGAAGGAAGGGGGAGAGGGAGGGGAGGAAGGAAAGTAAAAGGAAGAGGGAGGAAGGAAGGTGTCATGGTTCTGACAGACAGATGAATAAAGCAGAGCGAGGCAGAGTTGTCAGAAGGAAGGAAGGAAGGAAGGAGGGAAGGAAGGAAGGAAGGAAGCAGAGGGAGGGAAGAGAGGGAGGAGGAAGCAAGGAAGGGAAGAGAGGGAGGAGGAAGGAAGGAGAAGGAGGGAAGAGGGAGGAGGAAGGAAGGAGGGAAGAGAGGGAGGAGGAAGGAAGGAAGGAGAAGGAGGGAAGAGAGGGAGGAGGAAGGAAGGAAGGAAGGAGAAGGAGGGAAGAGTGGGAGGGGGAAGGAAGGAAGAAAGGAAAGAAAGGAAGAGGGAGGGAAGGAGAGGGGGGAGGAAGGAAAGAAGAAAAAAGAAAGGGAAGGAAAGAAGGAAGGAAGGAGAGGGAAGAGAAAGGAAGCAGGCAGGAAAATGAGGGGGAGAGGAGAGAGGAGGGGGAGGAAGAAGGGGAAAGAAAGAAAGAAAGAAAGAAAGAAAGAAAGAAAGAAAGAAAGAAAGAAAAAGAAAGAAGGGTAAGGATAGAAAAAAAATTAATGCTCCCCGGGGGAATTCTGAGAACTGAAGTCTACCCCTCTGAAAGTCGCTGAGGTTGAGAAACGGGACGTGAACCTCTCTCTGCCCTTCCACCCTATTTAAACGGGCCAGAAACTTTGACCTAACCGCCTGGAGAGTTTAACTGAAGCAGGGGCTCTCTTCCAAGCAGCCTAGAAGCCAGACTCTTGCAGAGGGGCAGCCCTCCTCCTCCTCCTCCTCCTCTTCCTCCGGGAGGATGTGTCCAGCCTGATGCTTCTGATGGAGCTCCCAGGGGTTGGGGACTGTGACCTGGATTCTCCTAGGGCAGGGGTCTGCAACTTTGACAACTTTAAGACTTGTGGACTTCAGCTACCAGAATTCCTCCCTTCCCTTCCCTCTCTCCCTTCCTTCCTTCTCTTTCCTTCCTCCCCTTCCTCTCTCCCTTCTTCCCTCCCTCCCTGCCTGCCTGCCTGCCTTCTTCCTCCCTCCCTCCCTCCCTCCCTCCTTCTCTTTCCTCCCTCCCCTTCCT